GCCATAGGGACACTACGGTCGTGGATAAGTTGCCAGAGTTGAGTCGTCAGTAGTACCAAACGGATCTGATGGACATCTACTAGGAAATTAACTACCGGATAGTCTTGTGTAGGGGCAATCCCCAATCAGCATCTTGTAGTCCAAACGGGATTGAGTCTTCCAGGCACATAAGCCCCTAGTTCCCGAATAGTAACGTCTGAAATTCAAAGCTGGGGCAACAGTTATCTCATTCTGCTCTTAGTCTTGCCCGGCAACAAAACTTCCTACAATACGAATCGTCAATGCGTGCTGTTGTCTTCGTGCTTACTGCCGTTCACCGAGTAAGCGTCAAGATACGTTCGATGGCGTAGTGGAGGCGTAACGTGGCAGGAAAAAAACTATCTGGAGATTCTGGATTTCTGGAATACAATAAGAGGTTAAGTTGCGATTGATTGGTTGTGCTGCGGTACAAGCCGAATCTGTTGATCAATTTGTAGGCTCTCCCAGGCTGCCTGGAAACCGGCAATTCAACCTTGAGGCTTAGAGTGGTGAGCGATACAGGAATCTATAGGTTGTGCAGTGATTCTTCCTCCCCCCCGATTACAAATCAACTGATCCGTTCTGGGGTCTTGAACTTTTTCATATTATGGGGCGTTCCTCGGAAATAAAGCAAGTCCTCATGAATCGGAATGCAATGTCTTCATAACGCTGATAACCTTTTGCTTCTCAAGAGGGCCCAGGACGAAAACCATATAGAGTGCAGTTAAAACAACTTTCCAAGAGCCCCTGAAACATCACAAATGAGCTGAGTTTGAAAAGCCTGTTGTGAATCTGTGCTTCGGGCAATGCGTGAGTTTTTTGGTCTATCCTCCTGTTACCAACAGTCTGACGGAGGCCATCATAGATTGGACCCACACAATATGCAGCATTTTTCTGCTCAAAACCTATAAACCTCGGTTTCAGTTCAAATGATAGAGAAGGACAATCAAATCCAGAATGAAAACGAGCTTGCGGAATATGACATGGTAGCATGTAAGTTGGATCCGCTTCCGGCACCGGATCGCAAACTCAGAGCAACGCTCTCTGGGTGTCACCAAATTAGAAACACGTGATTTCTTTGGAATTTTGACTAGCACATTAAAGACGCCCACATCATCTATGAAACTGCCAAATATTAGTGCAATACAACGTTATACATTGTGTGGAGTGTAAATTATGGTGGACTAAGAATAACGGCTCAGAAAGTCTTAACTTAAGTGGTCCGCTACGTACACCACTTCAAGGTCGGAAATTGACCGACATCAAGGATGCACAAACCCACTTTCAAAGAAAAACAACACCAGCGAAGCATAAGCCCTTTCGAGAACGAAAAATCTCCAGGATCCTTATGGGATGCCGATTTTGTGCATCATTAATATTTTCTTCCTGCAAAAAAGTGCTTAACTGCTATGGTGACACAAGTGCGTTTCTGATACGGATACTCGATAAGTTGGACAGTGTGCGGTGATTCGAAGAAAGCAAGGATCGAAGGATAGGTTCCCGAAAAGCGATTGGACCTTATAAGACTAAAGACATGGTGCAGTTTCCAACTGACCCTCGGGGCTCCCGAGGACACATGGAAATAGAAAGGACGTTCGACCCCAGGATCACATTCGTACCCGTCTGCCAAGTGATGCTCCGTTGCCATTCGAGTGCCAAGAGCAGTCAGTCCAACTTGGATTAGACGGTTATTTTTGTGTGCAATTAAGCACCGATGTTACGGAATTAGGTCAACCAAAGAATTTCAAAGGTTAGAATAGCTTTCTCGAAGTTGCAACGACATATGCTCTCAGAAAATCATCCGCTTCCAAGTGCTGTATGCAGTGTTTTGCAGTGTGGACTGTGCTACTGCACGCTTGTCAGACGGAGAGAAGACCTGAAGTATGTACACACCTTTCATAATCAATGTTTCAGAACTATGAAACCGACGAAGTATTGACCAACGATTTGGTAATAGGACAACCAAAGCCGGGTATTTATGGGGTCAAATATTCACCAGAAGAAAGCCTCTAACAGATAAAGTGGCTGAATTATGCCTAGTTATCGTTTATCAGTAGACTCATTGTCTCTTATACCACCTGAAAGAAAAGCAAGAGCACGTAACACGACTTGGCTGTAGATGCGATTCACTGTCCAAGACGACGTTTATATGCCCACTCGCGTCTGGCTAGAAATGTTCAAAGGCTTGACATTTATACTGTCAGCTTCTACCGATCGTCTGCGTTTTGTTGGATGGATACCTCGGATGTTTGAGCTGGGCCACCACCGGATTTCTCCACCAATTGTTCGACGGCAGTCTATACCTTTTACGTGACCATTTTGGCATGTTTATCAGCCGGCTCTGCTGCGGCTTCCGTCCATGCGGATGAGACTAATCACGCCAAGTTGAGCACCTTGCAAACTTCAGTCACTTGGATATAGCGAAAATGGGGAGCATGGCGACTGATTGTTACAGAATTCCTTGAATCCTATGAAAAACAATACACAGCTCAAAACAGCAATAAAGTACAGTGCTCCCTGTTGCATCTGACTGCCTTCCCCGCTCGTGCCTTAATGGAGAAAAAAAGACGCCGACAATGAACACAACAGGTGTTGATTCCTCTCTTCTGTTTTTATGACGTACAACGCGGCTCCTCTTTTTTGTTATTTGGGTTTTGCGCCTATATCACCTTTCTTATTTTTGACCTGAATATAAACCGTTCTTTGAGTTTGTCAACGTACGTGTTGTTTGAGTCAACACATGGTTTCGCTATCTTGTAAACACGTGGCTTTGAGTCGGCGTGGACTTTGAGATCCGCTAGGAATTAGCAGTTCCTAAACCGGTGAATAGAAGCCGGCGTAGTCCTACGATTTAAGGTTTGTAAAGTTTATTTTCTTATTGTATTTATAGTACCGCATTTGTAGCTAAACCTTCATTTTAACGATTTGGCTTTTGGGGTTTTGCGCGTAACTCAAAGTGCCCCAACACATTGCTGGAAACAGTTTATAACAGCTCTAGTGCAAAAGTTAAAACGTCCACGTGCTATTTAAAGGGAACTTTTTGACATTGATTCGAGCTGTCTGATAGGCGCTTAGTGTATACCCATCAACATGACCGTGCTTCTATGAACACCTATCATAGTCGGTCGTGCTTCTGCGGGCGTGCTTGAACACTCATCTACTTTTACTGAATTGATTGAGTGATTGACTTGGCCTGAATGCTTGCCGGTTTCCCTATTGAGATTTTGCTGGAGATTTAGGGTCTCACTAGGTTCCGGGCGTTCTGGGGGGGGGGGGGGTATTTTCAGGGATCTGACCTTCCTGACACTCCCTTGTTCAGGGAAACTTCCGCACAACGACTCTCTAATTCGATCAAGCACCTCGTTCCTGGTTTGTTGTTTATGCTGCTTGTTTAAATAACTTTTGAGATACCACATCTTCTTAAGGAAACCCAGTGAGTTATTTTCGAGTTGACTAAAGTCTGCCCGAAGTCCATCAGTGAATGATCAGCGTGAGACTGGTGTCATCTTATGGAAGAACGGTTTCTAAATAGGTCACGTACATATCTAAAGGGGTACTCTTAATCCCAAACCTTTGTCTATCGACACGTGCACGTACCGTTTGACTTGGTACGGACAGGACACCCTTTTTGAGTTCACTTACTCAGCTATTTTTACGGTGAATTCCGCTGAGACGGATTGTTTAGCAGTTTTTCTCCCCAGTTAAGTGGTACGACTCTATTGTGAATTAATTGCCCTTTCAGGGGGATCACTATCAATCAAACCAAAATTATAGTTTATCCTGTCTCTCTCCAGTGACAGTGATGTACTTGAATGCGCTTGGAACAACGAAAAACTGAACTAATGGGGCATTTCGCCGCTTAATCAGCCCAGGAGGAATCCATGGTATGTATATGGCATCATTTCCCATTACTTTACGCCATCAACCGCCTGAGACTCTGCTCGTAAGAGTGCTTACGTATGGCGGACAAATGGTCTGGAATCATGTCTCACGAACAAAAACAAACACTCAAACTAAAACATCCGAATGGAGAACAGAAATTAGAATTAAGCACTAAACATATGCGAGAGCCGAGACTAAGTGAACGCAGCGAAAAGCCGGGAACAGTCAAGGGCATCGGTTGTTGATCAGGTGACTCTTGGTCTGTTCATCGAGCTTCGCAATTGGTTTGAAAACGTTTTGTCACCAAACGAAGAGTCATCATCAATACTCGGCTAGGTGGGTATTTCTTCCTTACCTGCGTGCGTTCACAAGTACATGCCACCCGATCAACAGCCAATAAAAGCACACGAACTACCAATATTTCGAGTTGACGCTTACTGTTTCATGATGAAACGAAAGGCGCTAACTAACCAGTACATGGGCGTACGACGGTAGTCGGTGCCCAGATGTGAGATCAGGCAGAAAGAGGCCAGGTAGGAATTGGCGGGCCTAGATGGCCATCCAAATTGAATGGTTTAGAGAATGCTACGTTGGATGGTTGGTCCTCGTTACTCAGACCCGAAAGAGCCTGACTACCCTGTTAGTTACAATGCCCCCTCGGACGTCGTCAGATTGTACGAAAAAGTGCCCACTAATAACTGCAGTGCGTGTGGAACTCGTGCATTTTAGCATTTCTCATCCTGCTCCAACATGATCATGCTGGCCAGTTCACAGTGAAGGAGCAGCGATAAACCTGGTTTGAATACACAGTAGGGTATAGTAGCATCGGCCATCTGACGTGCGACGGGAGGGTGTTATCACTATCTAGGCGCGTTCAGCGTGTGCTCGTGAAAAGATGTTTTTGTCTTAGGATGAAACTGCACAGCCCTCCTTTGGGTTGTCCTCAGGACAGTAAAGTAGGGCGTATTCATCAGTTTCATATATTTGTGTTCGGTATTTGAACTAATTCGTCCTGCATCATGATTTCCAACTCCCACAATCCGAGATCACACAAACGTCAGGTCGATAAAACAATGAGGATCCGGTGAAAAACCAGTTACCTTTAGATCCAAAAGATATTCCATAACAAGCTGGTGGTGTGCGCGCAGGAAACCGCACCATGGCGACTGATCGTTGGAAAGCGCAGCAACTTCATAACCGCATGTGAGAAACATAACATTTACATCCGCTGTGAAGAGAACGGAAGAGGTACAACCACAAATGCAAACACAAATTGTCACATGATCGAGAACTATGGTAGGCTCAGTGGGCTATAGTCTGCTCACGACTACTTACAGTTTGTGTGCACGGTGGATAGCTGCATTAGGAACTAACAAATGCAGTCAAGAAAACCAAGGAAGCTGTGTAAAGCGCTGGGAGCCGCTTGGAGTACCTTCACATAATGTGCAGATTAGACGAGGATCTCAGTTAACGTGACCTGGTTAATACCACTGTTGACATGGACCAGGCTGATTTCCTTGTTTGGATGAAATCCAGGCATGTAGAAAAACAGATGTTTTTGTATTCTGCGGGTCAGGCAATATTAGCGAGCTGGATGAGGAAGTTATTGGATTCGATACAGCCACCTTCTTTCTATGTCAGAAACCACAGGCTTAATATTAATTACCATATATCAACCGAGGGGTTTATCAGAAAACTTGTGAAACCAGACTTGATCACTGAAATACCTTGGCCATTCTTTGCCCCTTGATGTGATGTATTGACCAGCAGCGACGATTCATGTGGTATTTCTCAGCTGAACCAAATGACATCAATGTCATCATCATAATCGATATCTACATTTCACTAGTGGGAACTGGTGCTTAACTACCATTTCAACACGGGTTAAGAAGGCTCTACTGAAAAATAAGAAGAGGCCAACAGAAAAGTGGCCAAGAATCCAAATCCATTGAAACAGCCACGTTTGAGCACCATGTGAGAGCAAGACGCTATCACTCTATTTGACCAAGCACTTCAGCCAAAGGAAGTCCAACACGCAATGACAGACAAGCGTTAGCCAGCTAGTTCGGTTAGGGAGTGGCGGCAAGCTCTCAACCTAGATCAGTACTGTAGTGTACTGTACTGTACTGTAGTGTGTACTGCAGGGTCCCTAGCCGTCCGCAAGAAAAAGTAGGTCAACTCCACTCAAGAAGGCAGGAACATCCGACAGCGCTCTGTACATTAGTTTGATCTAGAATTGTCATGTCATGGTCTGTTCTCCACGAGCCGAATGATTCATTAACAAATTACTTCATTCTATACCTACTTGATGGACGCCAAATCTACTACGACTCAGAGAGGCAGAGCAGTTTCTGTCTTATTTGGGAAAAATACCCAATTTCTTGCGCTTAACGTAAACAGACATAGGTCTTTCCTCTAGGGATAACGTAAACCGGCGTTGCGATCCGTTCCAAATTTGAACTGTGCGCTGAAATAGCGAGAAAACAGTGGTTTTGTGGGAAATTGTGCTGCATCACATTTGAATTGACCCGATAGTCGTTGGAATTTGACTGAGAACCGCAGGCTTTTCGGGCAGGTCCATGTAACTACCGTTGACAAAGGTTGTGGTGTGACGTAAATAAGCCTTTTACTAGACCTTATTTTGATCCTATAGTGCATCGGATGCATAGCTCAGGGTTTCACGGACAGGTGTTTTACCGCTCACCAGACCCCCACATTGCGAGCTGGGCGAGTAGAGGGCGTAACTCAATGGGTAGTTTGCCCGACAGTAGTCCGTATGCTTGCTTTTTCAGTGTGTCATTGAAACGTACGATCTACGGGCAGCCGACACCTAAGAAGGATAGGAAGCGATTCTAGCAACTTTATTGACCGAGACAACCGGTGATTTCAAACTCAACTGGGGCCTACATGTTTGATGGGCTATTACGTCCGAACAGAATATCGCACCATCGTCAGATTACAAGGTCAGTGGCTGTTAGCTCCACCACTAAGCTGTTTTAAAAACAAAAGGCCGACGGTCTTTGGCTTTCTACTCTAAAATATGGTTGAACTCATGAAATGAAGCAGTTATTCATACCAAGGAGTGGAGCAAGGCATACAAACTAAGTCCACACCTCTTGTGAACAGCGGCTCTGTGGTTCAAAAGCTACGCGAGAAGGCTTGCATAATACTGAAATACCTGCACCCACCCTCCACCATACAGTATTGGGTTTATTGGAGGTGTGCTCGGAACGGCCTTCAGGGGTCACAGCGGCCTAGATGAAGGGCAATACAGTCAAAATAAAAATTAAAAATAAAAAAATAAAAACGTAGCACCATGCGTATATATCAGTGCCAGTTTTACAGACATTTCTATACTCGGAGTCTATTTGGTTGTGAAAACCTGCCCCGAATGCACAAATATGTACTCACAACGGTTGAATTCTCCGCATTCCTTCAAATCCAATAGGGTTATTTTTCCCAAGGTTTAAGCGAAAACGACCCATAATTCGTTCATATTATGCCGAGAGACAAGACAGACGGCTGACTCAAACAACTATCAAAGAATATACAGAGGTGGCGCACAACCCTTGACCTATTCTGAAAGAGCCAAAAATTTTGTATCGAACGGTTCATAACATTTGTGGTCGTCAAAATGACCGTAGTTTGGTCAACCGAAACAAGGCAAACATTGCTGTTGTTCTAGTGTCAACCGTACAGTGACTACCATGTACACATAGGTTTTTCTGCATCTTTTACGATGTTTTTAGTCCACACATTCCAGGAGAAGAGTCAGCACAAATGAAACTCACTGACATATCAGGTAAACGTTGCCACTTCAATAACTAAGGTGGACGCTGAAATAGGAGGCAGCCTTAGTATAGAGCTAGTTCACATTCCTCTAAATCAAATAGGATATGGCGAAATCCAAGATGTTGAAAATGAAAATACCTGGTGAAAAGTCTGATTTCGGCAAACGATGTTTTGACACGACTTCGTCAAGCACCTCCTTCATCACTGCACCGTTCATGAATTTCCAGTACTCCACAAGTGCGGTCCTATTCTTCCGAACTTCTTTTTGGTACTGTTTGCAATAATCAAAGAACCGCAAAAGGTTATCCACAGTTTGAATGCCTTCGGGCATTGAATCCAAGTGACTTTCAATTCCTTGTGCATCCACTGCAGTGATTGGCGTGAGGTTGAAAAGCTAAAGTACGGAGCACAGTCAAGTCACCATAGCAGGAATACTGCTGAGAAATTGTGAAGCAAGATCTAAGGAAACAGATTAGCGTACCTTAAAAATAGGGTGCACCAAGTCAGTGTGCAAACTAGGGCGATCGCCCACACTCGAAAAGCATTCAGCATGCAAGTACATGACGGCATGGTAGGCCAACCACTGCGGTAAATTTGTGGATCAGTAAACCAACTATTCAACAAAAGTGACACTGAGAGATGGTTAGTTTGATAGTCCTCCAAGCAAAAAAACCCACTCATGAGCACTATTCCTATAAGAAAAGCCAGTATAGTGTATAGCCAGTACAGAGCGCAGAGGCAGGAACAGAATGGATGCAGCTCACAAGCGAGACATGGTCACATTTAATGGAACAGGCTAGTTCAGAATATCTGAATACGGAAATTTGCCGGTTTCCGATTACTTCAACAGTGGTACTACCTGTAATGTATGCATAATTCTGATTTTAGTCCATAGGGTTATTGTGGATCAATGTTCGGGGGTCGTGTGTTATAACCTCATCGGACAACTGTCGGAATTCGAGAGAGATCAGTCGAAGCAACGTAACACAGCGTTTGAGCTTCTGGTTTTATTGATCACTTCGACGGGGTTAAAACAAGAAGAGTCCAAACGATCAATTACGTAGTAAGTATTCTGGCAAATGTTAAATCACAATGGTAAATGGTAAATCCCAATTTTCCGGTGAATAAACCAAACTAATGGAAAGCGTTAACCGGAGAATTAAGGCTAGTTAAAGTAGCAACTATGGGCCTGTAGAGGTATCTCATCAGATCACACGTCACAAACACTCAAACCACGTGACAATTCCTGTCCCACTTGCAACCTGAGCCGACAACATGTACAGTAAAACCTCTCAGCCATTTTCGCTTACGCGGCCACCACTTGCGTCACGCGCCAGGATTATGAACCTCATTCAACACATCAGGTCAAGTTGTATTCATGTTCATGCAAGTATCAAACACGAAGGGACACCCCCTCTCTTCACAATGCACACAACAAATAGGCAGACACACTCGCGCGCACAGGACAGGAAGTCAAAAGAGCGCCGTCTCCACGGGCAACTACAGAACACGTGTAGCAGCTGTATTGCAGAGAAGACATATCCCGCGTCCGGAACTTCACTCAGGAACTCTCAACAGGTGTCCTCAAACGATAAGTCACGTTTTTGGCTTATTCCACTTTTCGCATTGTATCTATTTTTATCAAGTGGACCATTCTACTGTATTCATCACATTCTAGTAAGACAGACATTAGTCAGTGTTTGTTACCTTCTGATGATCAACTTAATTACGTCACAACTAGACCAGTAACAATTGGTGAGCCCGACTGAATTAGCCATGCCGTCACCTCCACATCACGGTACTTCTCCAACACCCATCACACTCGCAACCAACATTAATGCCGCCTCCGTCCACCTTCCACCTTTTTGGCACCACGATCCCTCCATATGGCTCACCCAAGTCCAAGCTTAGTTGGCCCTCAGTGGAATCACTCAAGAACATACTATGTATTATCACGTTCTAGCGGTGCTTCCAGTAGAATTAGCAGCAGACTTGCGGGATATACTGCAGACTACTGACGACACTAAACCTCACACTCATTAAAAGTTGCAGCTTATCAGAGCATAAAAGACTGGAACAGCTACTCAGCGGAGAGTCACTGAACGAGTCCAACCCGTATAACTTTTTACGGAGGCTTTGTAATATCATGGGGGACCGCAAAATGGATGACGCTTTATTCAAACAACTCTTTCTCAAACGCCTACCCGCCCCCCCCCAAGTACAAACCATCCTGGCCTCCAACCCCGATAGCGTCCCTCTAACTGAACTGGCCCGTATTGCGGACAAGATACTCAAAATCCAACCATGTTCCGCTAACGTCTCCTCCGTAAACACCTCAGATTCGGTGTGCACCCTTCACGATCGACTCGATCAGTTGGCTAATCAGGTCGCAGCTATTCGTATAAACCGACATCAACCGTTTCGTCGTGCGCCTTTTCGTTCACGTTCTCGGTTATATTCATCCTCCCAAGGACAAGCATTTTGTTGGCACCACAGTAGGATCGGACATAGAGCCCGGAAGTGTTCACAGCCATCTTCTTTCCGACCAAAACATCCGACTCCTCAGTGATCGTCAGGAAACTCACGGGCCGTCGACAAACCCTCCCGTCTCAATTTTCTGGTAGACACTGGGGCTGACAACACAATTATACCCGTAACTGCCGCTTCCTGCAAACCCATCGCTTCTGCTTTTACACTAACGGCTGCGAATGGTTCTCCAATTAAAACTCTCTCTACGACCAAACCTTGAGTTACACCGCGATTTCCCAAGTGGATCTTCGTAATTGCTGATGTCCAGCATCCCATTATCGGCTCATATTTTCTCACCCATTTCAACCTTTTGGTGGACCCGAGTCAAAAACGTCTTATCGACGCAAACACCTAACTGTCTACGAAAGGACGCTCTATCATTCTGTCCTCCATCTGCTCAATCACCGGTTTTAAGTGGTGTTTCGCCTTATCACACGCTACCATATCAATTCCCAGACTTAAATAAATCGAATTTCCATCAACCCCAACCTAAGCATTCTATCGTTCATCACATTCATACGCGTGGTCCTCCGGTTTTTACACGCCCACGCCGTTTAGCTCCAGAGGAATTACAACTAGCCAAGGACCAATTCCAACACATGCTTCATTTGGGTATCATCTGACCTTCACCCCTCCATATAATGCCCAAACTTTTTCAGACTGGCATCCTTGCGGAGACTACCAACAATGTCACAATTCCTGACCGTTACCCCATCACACACCTTCATGACTTTTCTTCCACATTGCACGGATGCACCTTTTTTTTCCCACATTAACATTCTCCGTGCTTACCATCATATCCCTATACACCCCAAAGATGTCCATAAAACTGCTATCACCACACCTTTAGGGTCATTTGAGTTTTTACGCACGCCTTTTGGCCTCCGTAATGCTGCACAAACATTTCAACGTTTTATTGACCAAGTACCAAACGGCTTTCCCTTTGTTTTTGCTTATCTTGACGACATTTTGGTTGCTAACCACACACCTGAACAGCATTTGGAACATTTGCATACCTTATTTACTCGTCCATCTGAACATGGCGTGATAATTAATGTTCAAAAATGCATTTATACATCTTTACTAACATTTCTCGGACGTACCATTGACGAGACCGGAATTCCACCAGCCATCGATAAACTAGATGTTACCCTCAATTTTCCGCTCCCTGCGTGTGTCAAGCAAGTCAAACGTCTTTTGGGCATGATTAATTCTTATCGCCGTTTTATTTTGGGCGCGGCGAAACATTTGGCACCCTTTACTAACCTGTTAGCTGGAAATCCTCCTCCTAAGCAGCTGAATTTCGATGACTCGCTTGAACGATTTTTCGAACAGATTAAATCCTTGCTGACTGATTCTTTGAAGTTAGTTCATCCACAACCTGACGCCCATTTATCACTTGCTGTCGATGCATCGGACATCACTACAGGTGCACTCTTACAACAGTCGGTTCATGGTGCAATGCGACCGCTTGGTTTCTTTCCTACGAAACTCTCGCCGACAGAATCTCGCTACAGCACCTTTGGTCGAGAGTTACTCGCTATTTACTTTTTTATTCGGCATTTTCACCATTTCCTAGAAGGCTGACAATTTTGTGTCTTCACAGATCATAAGCCATTAACGTTTGCCCTACAGGCCAGAACCGACAGGTATTCTCCTCGCGAAATCCGTCACGTAGACTATAGTTCGCAGTTCACCGACGGGATTCGCCATATATCAAAACACCTCAAGATAGTCGCAGACACGTTGTCTCGTCCGGCAATTGACCCCCTACACTCAACGCCCACTATTGATCTG